GTTAGAGCAGAAAGCAATGAAAATGGAGTCAGTTTTAAGGTCCTAATTTCAACATGGCATTTTGAATCCACTGCAAGGGAGAAACAGGCTTTGTGAAGAGAGAAAGGAGTTTTTTGAATTCCTTGCAGTTTCCTTTCACATATAAAGAGCCAGGCTTCATCAGATAGGTCAAAGTCATCATGCACAGCAGGCAGAGGGAAATGACTTATGGGAAGTTTCCACCAGATAAGAAGAGGGAGCCAAAAGCGTTGCCACAGGAGATGGGCACGAGAAAACCTCACAGAAACCCCATTTGGTTTGAGGGACATTCAGCACAGCCTGGCTCACCCCCACACTTCCCCACTGTGTCTGCCATGGTCTGGAAGTGGTGGAACCTCACTTCCAGGGAAGAGGGTCCCTCAAGGCCCAGAGTTCCTGTCTGTCCCGGCAAGAGGACACCAAGGTGTGAGAGCGGCTGTGTCCTGGCATAGCTTGTGGTCTAGGCAAGGAAGCAAGAGACCATAAAGCACAGAGACCTGGTGATCTGGGGGACCACAGGGACTTCAGTGCAGATGCCAGTAGGACGCCCGAGAAGGACAGTGACATCAGCCACACCTAAGTGCACATGAGCCCAGGAACGTGCAGGGCCAGTGGTAGCAGAGCACATCAAGAGGTGCCTCCCCAAGGATATGCCAGCTTGGCTCTGCACCAGATACTGTGCTGGGGAGGAGGATGAAGAAGTGGCCCCTTGAGAGAGAGAAGAAACAGCCTTTGAGTTGACTGGATATTTACGCGAATGAGGCTGAGTTAATCTCAAAGTGAAATGTTACAAACAGGAACAGAATTAAGTTATCCTACACTGGCCATTTTTACTTGTCTCTGCCCTCAGGAGGGATGGGAGCTCTGGAGTAAGGGAGTCGTGATAGATGACAGTGAGCTTCATTTCCCCCAAACCTCTGAGCTTGACATGAGAATGTTGACTCCCTCCCCTTGACCTCTTTCCTAGACTGACCCTTTGCTCTGGACTTTTGCCTTGAGCCACTGAGTCACACGAGGGATGGTGAATGCATTTAATCTAATACAATCCTCAGTTTTACCTATTAAAGCATTTTAGTATATAACAACGTTAAAGAACATTAGAGAACACATCAGAAAATATTATATAGAAAACATTAAAGAGCATTATAGAAAAATATATCCTCTCTACTTTATCGTAAAGACATCTGCGTTTTTTTTTAATGCTTTCTTTATCCAAGTTGTTAAAATACTGGCTGACCGATTAGCCAAGCCCTCTACCCAAGGGTCTACCCAAATGCTTTCCTCATTTCAAAATAGGGATCATAACGGTTCCCGCCACATGGAATTGTGAAGGTGAATAAGCTAATACAGCTCTAGGACATAGAAATACACACGTTGGATGTTCAATAACTATTCACTAAAATTCCTTTGCTTTAGTTTGAATGGATGGTGAATTAAAAGAATTGCTCATCTATGTTACTGAGTGAAAAGAGGTCATAGAACAATACATGCAATAAAATATCATGTTGTAAAAACAGTAACTATATTTATACATGCAAAGGCAATACACAGAATTTCCTGGAATATGAGTCTTTGTATCTTTGTTTTTACTTTCTAATTTTTCTAAAATGAACACATATTACTGCTGTATAATAAACTATACTTTAAAAATACCTTGACTCCACTATTTCTGCATATGCAGAAGTTAAAGTAATGAGTTACAAATAGAGGTAACATACAGACTGTGTCTATGCGAGAAGACTGTAGTTTCAGCTGGTCATTTTGGTGGGGTTCTGGGTGATAGCAGAGAACAGAATCAGTCAGGTAATTTTGGAGAGATTTAGAAACTGGGAGTGGAAACATAAAAACCGAAGTAATTAGACATGGCGTATGGAACTGAAAGGTTGTGGGGATTAGGGCTTGAGACTTTAATCATAGGTATCATGTGAGTGGCGATGAATAAAGTTGGTCAGCAGGATGAGCTTAATGAGGCTGATGTGTAGCAGAGAGTAGGTGATATGTGGTCCCTGGGGGACAGACAGAAGCTGCCTGAGTTCCTGACGGCACCCCAGCTTTCAACTCCAGTCCCTCCTGGGGTTGCGGTTGTGTTCAGCAGGTTGCAAGCAAGCCCTGTGTAACCTTATAATCCATTTCCCATATTGTGAGCTAGCTGAAATGAGTTTCTATTTCTTGCAAACAAATGCTCTAGGAATTTTCACTAGCTGCTTGCTATGGACCCTCAGAACCCAGTATTATCAGCCACTTCTCAAGTGTTACTGACTTTATATTTGAGGTATTTGGTTCTGTTTTACAGCTAGCAGGGTGAGTGAGAAGAATCTCACAGTGTAGCTGTGGGGTCAGCTTTGGTTTCTAGCAATCACCAATTTATCATTGGCTCAAATCCACCAAGACAGTGATAGAGATGGCAGAAATCTCCCTGTCAAGGATCTCAATCAGGACATGTCTCTTTGATGCAGGGCACAGGGGCCCCAAGCAGTGAAATAATGAGGCCAGGCCTGGTTCATGTCATTTTACTTTAACTGTCCGCATTAGATTATTAAAACAGGAGATTTCAACCCAAGAAACCTCAGCCTATTGCACTAGCCTAAATAGCCTATGAGACACAAAGTCAAATTGTAAATTTTTCTTCTATTTAAAAATAACTGCTTGTATAAGGTGATCAATATATTGGTTCAATATTATAATCCTCTATTCATTCAGGCAGGTGTCCAGATTATTATAACTTGAAAAAACTAATTGAAATTACTTTCATCTGTATGGAGAAGAATCATAACAAATTTCTTGAAAAATGTCATAATTCATATACTTCACTAGATGCTTAGGTGATCTCATCATTTTGTCATTCAACAGTAATATGATGAATGCTAACTCTGTGCCAGGCGTTGTGCCATCCGGCCCAAAGTAGGGAAGTTTTGTTATGTAACAGAACAAGTCTAGGACATCCTCTGGGTGATGGGGCAACTGAGAACCAGATAGGTAAACAATTTTGGAGAAGAATAAAAGCATCCAGGGATTTTTGGTGAATTTCTTAATGCTGACAAGGTTTGGAGAGATTTGGAAGTATTGCGGTTGACTACTGAGTAATGAGGGGATTTTCTTTTATTTGATCCTTTCTAGAAGAGAAGAAGGGAACCTAGGTTTAATGGGTGTCTGGTTTAAGGGGTCTGTCATGGTATTGGATGACACACACAAACATACATGCACACTTAACATACGCATATATATTGATTACATGGATATATATAGATGACACAAATTCTAGACATATATTTGTATTATATTTTACATAGCATATTGTGATAACTTAAAATGTAATTGTTGCAATAAACCTGTGACATAAGTATTACTCGTTCATTTTAATGATGAGGGGTCGAAGGCTGAGAGAGTGAACTGTGTAAGGTGGTAGGCCCGTAAGAAGAATGAGGATTTATGCTCAAGTCTATCTAATTCCAGAACCCATTATTTTTTCCACTGTATATTGGTGTCCAGAGAATATATCAATGGAAAACTTTAAAAATCAAATTGCGTTTTGATATCTGTCGCCACTGATGAGGCATGTGACCTGGGGTGGCTTCTCTGTGCTCTCTGGGCTTCCCTTGACCATTTGTAAAATAGGATCACAGCAGCCTCACTGCCTGTCTTGAAAGATGGCTGAGAAATTCCATGAAATAATCAAGTCTAAGTACTAGGAAGCTGTGCAAAGTAGTGTACAAAATCATGTTGTACAGGTACTGTACAGAAATAGTAAGGACTGTCTTATTTTTGTGATTGTACAAGGAAACCAAAAGAAGTTACTTAAAATTGCCGATGTTTTAAGCAAGATAAAAAAGAATGACAAAAAATTTTCTTTGCAACTTAAGAAAAATGCAAATTAAAACCTTCTTTGTTCAGAATAGCGGACTGTTAATAACTGTTTCAGCTGTGTTCTGGGTACATGAAGTTCTCACTACTACTGTGTGTTACAAATTTTCCACCTAAACAAAAATATAAATGATAGCTCCTTGTTTGACTATTAAAGTTTAGATAGGATGGTGGTAGTCAGAATGCCTGGGTTCGAATCTTGCCTCTGCCACTAACTAGCTGTGTGACTTTGAGTATACAGCTTGACCTCTCTGTGCCTTGATGACCACATTCACAAAATAAGAATAATCATAGTACCTACATCATAGGTTCTTGTTCAGAGAATTAAATACATTGATATTCGGTAAGCAGTTAGCAAATTATGTATAAGTATTTGATGAACCAAAAATTTTGGGGATGCCGAATAGCTACTCTTTACAAGGAACGTGAGGCTCAGAAATGTCAAGCAGCTTATTCAACATCACAAAGTTAGCAACTGGCTGTGTCTGGGCTTGATTCTGACTCCAAAACCCTGGCTCTGTGTGCTGTACTGTCTCCCATGGGGGACTTCCTGTAATTAGCCAGGTCCTGATTTGCAAGTGGTACTGTATTTACCCAAGTATTTACAAGTATCTTGGGGCCTGGAGGATTGCTGCGGAGGGTCTGTTTGCAGGAGGCCTGAAGAGCAAGTTCTGCATAATGGCCAAGAGACTTAGAGCAAGAGACACTCTCTTAGGACCCCAGACCTTTCTGGCAAGGCACAGAGGAGGTCAGAGTTCCAGGGTGCCAGGTGTGGGCCTCTTACTCTGCACAGCTCACGTGAAAGCCTCTGTCGTACGTGATGCCTCTTGTGTTCCAGGCTTTGTTCTAGGTACTTTACACATAAATATTAACCTGGGTTCTCTCAGGCGGTGCTCCCAAGCCCTAGAAGCTTGAATCCTGCTGTAGAGCTACTGCCATTGTTGTGCGTTATCTTTTGCTAAGAAAGTTGCTGCTGACCTGATTGTGTTAGCTCTAGAGTGAAATGAAAAGTAGAACTAGACAGATTATGTAGGCTGCCTCAGTCATATGCAAGGGTGAGAGTGTGGTTACAGCTTTACTGCCATCTCTTCTTATGTAATGTTCTTATTCCGTCTGAACAGGCAGATCTGAGCTCCCCTACATGTGTGAAAAAGTGCCAGTCTCGCATGATGTTAGAAGGACAGTGCACATGGAGGTGGATTAATACTCAACCGTATTCGTTAAGGAAGAATTAAGAAAAGGTGAGGTACTTTGATGCAGCGGGAAATCCTGTACATTATCCAAGAATCTTTTAGTTTGACCCAAGTATATTTCTGAAGTTCAAAGCTAAATAAGCAAATGCCACACTATGACATTTCAATGAAAGCAGTGAATTTTTCTGATACCTAGATTTGGACTTTAATGGCCCTGTCAAATATGGTGTCCAGTCCCCTGTGATCCCGTGAGGGTAAAAACACCAGCGGCAGTACTGTGATTAACACCTTTTCCTTCACAGAAGAGATTCATGGGATTTTTCCTATTTGACCTCTTCAACGATCCTGTGTGGGATGCTATATGTTTTCCTATTCTAGAAGTGGGAGAAACTGAAGTCCAGGTTGATTATGAGACTCATGTACCACTGCATAAAGGGGTAGTGGTGGGTACAGGATGTGAGTCCAGGTCTTAGCTAAGTACTGGGGATACTTTCATTTTATCCTGTCATTTTGGACCCAAAAGTAGCAAATCTGTGATAGGGAAAATTGATTTTGTTAGTCCATGTGGGCTGCTGTCACAGAATACCATGGACTGGGTGGCTTATACACAACAAACCATTTCTCACAGTTCTGGAGGCTGGCGAGTCCAAGATCAAGGTGCTGGCAGAAGTGGTGTCTGGTGAGGGACCTCGGGATCTGATCACTTCCCAAAGGCCCTGCCTCCAAGTACCCACCTGTTGGGTGTTAGGATCTAACACATGAATTTTGGAGGGAGACAAACATCGATTCTATAGTAGGGATGTTCATAAGAACAGAGTGCTATACCGAAAACATGAGCTTACAAGTAAATGCCAACAACAAAAAAATTAGCTCATGAAATTATTTTAAAAACAGCAATTCATTATCCTTAGGGGATAATATACCTGCTGTGCTTTTCTACTAGCCTGTTAATTTTTTTCTAGGCATATAGGCAACTATTTGCAAAGCTGCTGAATGGGATGGTTTAATTCCTTAAGAACAGATTTTCCAGTTTTTCGGGGACACACTGAAACATTGCCAAGTTTCATCATTTGAGAATTCTTGGGATAGTCAAATATAGGAGGGGAAGTTTGCTGACTTACCTAGTCCATTAAGATGATATTGCAGGAAGAAATTAATAAGAGTCTTTCACATAAAATGACATTTCCTGAGATTTATGTAAAAATAGTGACTATAAATGATTATAGGGAAGACAGCCTATTAGCAAGAAGGTTCCTTTTTTCATCTCATTGCCAATTAATGTAACTTGGAGGATATCCGGCACTGCATCTCATAACCTTCCTTCGTCCTTCAGCCTCTCTGAGAGGCACGTGCACTGATTTTCTGAAGCAGGGACAGGCCGGCAGGGGCTCCACGTTCCCCGTGATGATTTTACCACAGGGAGACCATGAGGTAGACATTCATCCACAAGTAGGATATATTCTCTGGAATGATCATCCCTTTCAAGACAGTAGGCAACCACATGAATGTTCTGGAGAGAACCTGCAGGCAGCAACTACTCTGGATTCCCGGAGAGGATAGGCCCCAGTTGCATAGTGGCCTGTGGGGATAATCACAGCCTCACTCTCCAAAATGGGAGTTTGCTGACCCCATCCCTCCCTGTAGTGCACAGCGTGTACTTCCAGGCCATTCCAGGCTGCTTCTGGGGGTTTTCTTCTCTGGCTACTGATGACTGGGTGAGTCAGACACACAACAGCCCGTCTCTCTTCTCACTAGCGATCTTGTGGCTCATTTCTCCCACTTAACCCATTCATTCTTCCCCTTCAACATACTGGTGGAATTACTGTATTTTTCTCTTCGTGTTTATGCTGATTACATATTTTTTGGGCTTGTCTCCCATGCAGCCTCTTTAAAGGGTGGGGATGGGCCTCTTCTCCACTATCCATCATCTGGAGTGTCTACTTAACAGGACCTTAAGCCTGAAGGGAGTGTGATAAATGCTTGCTTACCAACTGCCCAATTTCTCCGTATACCCGTCTTCCACTCTGAAGCTGGTCTGACCAAATCTTCAGTCAAGTTTGGTCAAGGAAGCCCAGGTCAATGCCATTCACAGGTCATAAGTTCCTCCTATGACTGAAGCACAGAGCTAGACTCTTCAAATGAATAAGACATAGTCTGTGTCTTCCTGAGCTTTTCAAGTCAGAGGAGGCATTAGTGCAGCCGTTTTCAGCCTTACTGTTAACACACTCTGGTGGGTCCAACTTGCGAAATGTGTTGTCAGTAATTTGTTGCTGATAATAAAGTACTGAAAGGGGAGGACTGATTTAAAAAAAATAAATCTGAGTGGATTCAGAGTTATTTTTATAATAACCTTGCACAGTCTGTCTAGCTTTATTGATGAGTTGAAGCTTTGTAGTTTTGAACATTTTCTTTTTTCTTCTGATGCACATGTCTCGCCCCCCCCCCTCCCATGAGTCTGTATAAGGAGGGGTTGCTTCATTTCAGCTGCACATAAGCAAGATGGGTAGTGGTGTGTGTGCATCAACCAGCTTACTCGCTTTGATCCTGTGCCATTTTCACCAGTTCAGGGAAGCTTATCTGAGTGTAAGGCATTAATGGTGATGCTATTTCAGATAATGTCTGTTATGGGGAGGGGGGATAAATTCTAGTGACGAAGGAAAGAGAATGGGAAAAGTTCTTGCATAGGGCAGATCAAAACTGGATCCTGAAAGGCAGGGACAGGGAGCTCTGGGGTGCAGTAGCCACCCAGCCAGTAAGATTTGGGCAGAGGTGCAAAAAGAGGAAGAGGTGGCAGTGTTCAGGGTCCTGTGAGTTGTCCAGCATAGGAAAAAAGATGGTGGGGAGGGTTCTAGCTAAGTTTGGAAAAATCTTCAAGGTTTATGAGTGGAAGATGGAGGTGTTCAGACTTTATTCTGTATGTAGTGGAGAGCCTTCCAATTGACTGGATTCAGTATTCAAACCGGGCACATTACCCTATATATTTTATGTCCCAGGCACATAGAATAGCTCTGGAAGATGTCCTAAGTGGGTTTAGACAAATCTGTTTACTTTTCAGGGCATTAAAAACACTATCACTAAATATAGCATAGTGGTTAAGAGTCCTGGCTCCAGAGCCAGTTAATTTGGGTTCAAAAAGTGGCTCTGTCTCTTATTAGCTATAGATCTAGGCTCACAATGCTTTGAGTTCTTCATCTATAGAATGGGGATAATAAAAGTTCTTGTGTCATGGATTTGTTACTAAGTATTAAATGTGTTAAAATATAACAGCGCAGGATGAGCACGGAGTCACCGGCAGCTGCTGACATGATTACTGTTGTTACTACCGCCTGTGCTGAGGGACAGGTGGGTGTTCTCTGGTCCTTTCCTGATGATGTGGGTGAAATATGGTTCACCTTCATGAATCAACTCATATTTGTGGAGTGATCATTTCAGTCCCTGTGTTATCGTCTCTGGAGGATATAGAGAAGTAAGTTGTGTCCAGAGCCCTCAAGGATGTTCCAGAGTCAGGAGAAAAACAAAACGAACAAGGGTGCAAAAGCTAATCAAGAGTAAAAGGAAGTCGTGTCCATTTAGAAAAGCAAACCCCAGTGCCCCGTCAAGTTTAGGATGGCATCTTTCTCTGAGAGTTTGGGGAGGAAGTGATGGCATGTGGCTTGAGTGCTTTGGGAACTCTTTAAGAATTTGATCTGGTAATTTAAGTTTGGGTCCATATTACCCAATTAGATAACTGGAGATCCAAAAGTAGACAACTGGGGAAGAAGATGAGGCACTTCTGATACTTTTCCTGGGTATTTATTCAGTTTGGTAGGGCTTGTCACTCTCTGCAGCCTTTCAGTAATCCATTGGTTCATAATATAAGTTGGTCATGGGGGTATGCAGTGCAGCATGGGGAATACAGTCAATGATTCTGTAACACCTTTCTGTGTTGACAGTAACCGAACTAGTCGGGGTGAGGATTTAAGAATGTGGGTAACTGTTGAACCACTGTGTGGTACATTTGAAACCAATATAAGATTGCGTATCAGTGATATGATAAAAATACATTTAAAAAATAATGCATCGGTTCATAGTTTAAGGTATTTCATACATATTCTCAAGCCCCATTCTGTGTGTTTACACTCCTGGGCCTTCTTTAATTTTGGAGTGCCCTCCCAGTCCCCAGGGTGGGGCTCTGTATACTGTGCATTCCAGAAGTGATCCTTCTCCAGTTCTCTAAATTGTAAATATGGCCATCACATTGATCTCTTAGAGACTGATATCTACATATACAAAGCTTTGCATGTTTTCTAGTTTTGGGAAACATTTTTCCAAATTCTTTTTTCTGTTAGCTGGTCAATGGGCCACTGATGGTATAGAGCAAATCTCCATTCACTCCACATCTATTTTTAAAAATGTCTGAGATATTTTGCAAAATAAGCTCCACTGACTTGGCCAAAAGAGGGGGAGGAGCACGACGAAAGGACCAGGAAGGGATTCCATTTATTCAGTTTTCTCAACCATAAAGTCCAGGAAGCCAAATAGAAGAGAGATGGAACTCAGAAATATTTAAGTGAGTGACTGTCAAGAAGATGTTAAATTCAATCTTTGCTATTTCTTGCTCGTGACTATTCTTATTGTACTCACCCTTTCTTTTGAAGGGGATAAATGCCCTGGTGGGGGACAGGGACTGCACATATGCAGGACAGGTGGCCTTGAGTGTAAGTAAATGTTTGCTGGGTGCCTAGGCCAGCAGAACCAGGAGAAGAGGACGTTGAAGGACAGAGGATTATTGAGGGAGCAGCAGACAGCAGTGGAAAACACATGCAGAAGATTCCGTGAGGAAGCGTTCTGGGAGATGATCTTCATTCAGAAGCACAGAGTCTTTCAATGACCAAAGGGCCCAGGGCCGAGAAAAAGGATAAGAAATTTGGGGGAAAATGGAGTTAGTGGTTTAAGAATCAGAGAAATGATGGGGAGGGAACTATGCTTACCAGATCTCCAGCATATGTTGGTGGTTGTGATGTCATTTTATGCATCACCTTGGCTGGGTCGTGGTGCCAAAATAAATGATCCAACATTATTCTGGATTTTTCTTTGAGGGTGTTTTTTGGGTAAGATTTACATTTAAATTGGTGGACTTTGAATAAAGCAGATTGCCTTTGATAATGTAGGTGGGCCTCATCCGATCAGTTGAAGACCTGAATAGACCAAAAGGCTGAGCTTCCTGGAGCAAGAGGGAATTCTGCCAGCAGACTGCCTTTGGACTTGAACTGCAACTCCTTTCTGAGTCTCCAGCCTTCTGTCCACCCTCATCAGATTTTGGACTTGCTAAGCCTCCACAAGTGTGTGAGCCAATTCCTTAAAATAAATGCAGCCTCTCTCTGGAGAGCCCTGACTAATGCAGTGGTGTAGTAAGTAGTCCATGCATATTTCAGTTTTGTCTTAAGAGCACTCTTCAAGATCACTTAGCTACTCAGTTGTGCAGACAACCTTCAATCCAAGTCTGTCTGATTCCAAATCCCATATCTGCTCATCAAAATACACTTCTGAGGACCCAGAGCAGGGTTTTTGCAAAACTAAAACTTGAATCACTGGCTTCCTGTTGGTGTGAAGATTCTAATGGAATCTAATAGAGGGCCTAAAGGGAAATCAAGTAACCCGGCTTGGGGCCTGTCTGGGTTGTGATGTGCACACAAAATGCAGCTGGCTGGCCTTCGAGGCTGAGAAAACACAGCCTCGGGTCTTTGCCAGCTCAGGTTGGCTGCAATCGGGGTCACCTCATCCTTTCGAGCCCTTCGGTTTCAGTGGAATGAGAAGTGATATGTCTTTCCACCCCAGGTGCCTGGACGTTCAGCTGGGAGTCCATTATCCCATCAATAGTCTGCCAAAGAGATGCTCCGATTTCCCGTTAGTTCTCAGTATTTCCTGGCAATAGCGCCCCCCTCTCTTCCTGCCCTTCTCAGTCTTAACGTGAGATTTGGGAAATACACAGAGGAAGGACGTGAATTTAGGGTCCGTGAAATAGGACAGGGGCTTCTGGATCGAGGTATAACGCACTCTCCCTTATTCATCTTCCCTGTTAAGACCAAGAAGCAGAAAGACTGAGATAAGGAGATAATTTTCTTATGATGCCTTTCTGCCTTTTGGCAGTTTCAGTGGCAAGACTGCAAAAGCAGAGCAGGTTTTTCCAATTGCTTTGGGCTGCAGAGTGAGCCCCTGGTGTCACATGCCTGCAAGCCACACCGTGGAATTAGGGCCAGCTGCCTGACAGCCAGCAGCAAACCGAGGAATGCAGCGGCCCCAGTCGGTACGGGAAGCGTGAAGACCTGCCTCTCTAACTGTCTTTATTCTCCTTTGAGCACTGGAAAAAGAAGGGAGGAAACGAAACATAACATTTTTCCTTCCATAGTTTTCTTTCAAGGGAATAGATGATATAACTCTAAGTAAATGAGAATGATCTCTTAAACATTCAGCATACCAAAAGTTACACATCCCAGGGAGTATTAAACATATTAAACTCTGTGAATGTAGTCACCTGGACTGCGTGCTAAGTCTAAATCTTAGCTGGAGCACGTCTCTTCTGCAGCTGGGTCTGCCTTCAGAAACCATGGGCTTCATCACAGAGGAGGCAAATTAAGATTCAGCGTATCTAGCATGTCACGAACTGTAAATGGGCTAAATACAAAAATTTGAAAAATATGACTGGATTACAAAGCAAAACCCAACTATAAGCTGAGAAATGAGATATGTTAAAACAAAGTGGTTCAAGAGATTGAGCGTAAAGAATGGGGGAAAGGGCGTGCCAGGCAAATGTAAGTTAAAAGGAAGTATGAATCTTTACCTTGGTGTCAGACAAAGTTAGAGGCAGGGAAAAAGCATCAAGCACAAGGGTACTTTATGGTCTTTAAAGAGAACCACATTTACGATCTAACAAATATGTTCCATGGTCCGTGGGGCCAGGGGGATTCTTTTTCTGTTTTTGTTTAAATCCAGTACTTCAGTGGAAAAAAAAAATTAGAATTTATTGACAGACTTAAACAAAATCAGGCTATTTCAAATTCAAAAACACTTTATATTTTCTGTTTTGTTTTTTTTTTAATCAGAAAATCTGGTGATACTGGGCTTGAATTTTCATGTAACATTAATCATGTAGGCAGGAATTGGCAAGCTATGTCCTGTGGGCAGCTATGTCCTATGTCCAGCCCACCACCCAAAGAAATCCAGGCCAAGATGCCTTGAAAGAAGAGGGGGGATGCGAACTCAACAGTCCAAGCGGGTTTATTGCTGAACCTGAGAGGGACCCCCCTGTCCTGGCCAGCAGAACAAAGGAAAGAGAGTCTCTAATAGGTCAAGAGGCTTTTTGTGGCCAGGGTTTTGAGGGGAGGGGTCAGAGGAAAGGTGGGTTTGTGGCTTGCTGATGTGTCCTCTGGAGAATGCTTGTAGCCTAGGGAAGATGACACGTAGGTCACTCTGAGATGGTGGGTGGGCTTATTCGGAAGGTGATATTCAGGTCCGGATTCTATCACGCATAACAGTCAGACTCCAGAATAACTAAAGACAAAGAAAAAAATCTTGAATATAGCAAGAAAGATACAATGCCTTAACTATGACTTCCTATTGACAACCAGAGGAAATGGCATCATATTTATCATGTGTGGAAAGAAAAAAGCTGTAAACCCCACATTTCTATCTCTAGTGAAAATATCCTTCAGGAATGAAAGGAAAACCAAGACATTTTCATATGACGGAAAATTAAGAGAATTTGTCACCAGCAGACCTTCCTAAAGGGACTGGCGGACTGGTTTAAAAAAACCATGATTTGAAAATAGGTGAAAATAAGTGAAACACAAATCTGGTTCTTTGGAAAAATCAATAAAATTGACAAATCTCTGTCAAGATTTACAGAGACAAAAAGAGTGATTTAAAAACCACCAGTCACAGATAGTAAAAATTAAACAGGAGATATCACTGCAGACTCTGATGACACTGACAAGATAAGAGAATATTATAACCAACTTTATACACATAAATTTGATAACTGATGTGAAATTTCTCTAAAGGTACAAACTATCACGAAGCATGAAAGAGATAATTTGAATAGCTCTATAACTTTTAGAGAAATTGAATTTGTAGTTTAAAATCTCCATGAAAAGAAATCTTTACTCATAGATGACTTTGTTGGAGATTAGTACCAAAGGTCTAAAGAAGAATTAACCACCAATTCTACACACCCTCTTTCAGAAAAGTACAAAAGGAAACACTTTATATTTTAAAAATCTGAGTTGATTTATCATCTTTCATTTATGAAACCGTGATACTAAAACTTGACTAAAACATCACAAGAAATGAAATCTCTTTTGCAAACAGATGTAAACGATTGAAACAAAAATATTGGCAAATCAAATCCAGGGGTGCTAAGGATAACATATGCACATTTGTATCCAGGAATACAAGTTTGTTTTAACTATTGCTAGTCAAATAATATAACTCACCATGTTAACAGAATAAAAAAGAACATATGGTCATCTGAATTGATGCAGAAAAAATATTTGATAAAATTTAAAGCCTAATTCATGATGAGAACTGTTTACAAACTAGGAAACAAAAGTAACTGACAATGGCTGCCTACGAATGTACATTAAACATTCTACTTGATAATGACTTATTGAAAATTTCCCCCTGAGACTAGGAATCAGACAGGACTCTTACCATTACCACTTCTATTGAATAGTCTGTAGGAGGTCACTGTAATAAAGCAATGAAAAAAACCCAATAAAAATTGGTAAAGAATAAATAAAACCATTATTATTTGAAGAAGCATATGTATATATATGTATATATATACATATATTTATATATAAAAAATAATTGAATATGTAGAAAATTCAGAAGATTCTACAAGTAAGCAATTTAATAAGCAAATATAGAAAGGTTATTGAAAGAACAGAAGAGAAAAAGTTCACTGTATTTCCATATAGTACCAACAGTCAATTAGGAAGTAAAATTTTAAAAAGGACATTTTTATGCTTGCATTAAAAACATAAAAGAAATCTAGAATATATTTAACCAAGATTTGAATACCCTTACATAGAAAACTATAGAAATCCTACTGGGTTAGTTTCCTAGGTATGCCATTACAAATTACCAAAAACTGGATGGCTTAAAGTACAGCATAGAGAATGTAGCCAATCGCTAACATCTTTCTATGTTGACAGAGAGTAACTGCACTAGTGGGGGTGAGCATTTAATAATGTGTGTAACTTGAATCACTATGTTGTATACTTGAAGCCAATGTAACATTGTATATCAACTATACTTCTATTAAAAAAAACCTAATAAAAAAAAAAGCCATATAAAGAAAAAAAGAATCTGTGCTTGTTCAAACAAAATCTAGTTTGCTACATGCAGACTTTTTGCACGTGGTTCCATGAAAGCATTAATCCCTACAGGAAAAGCCTTCCATTATGATTTTCTCATTTCTCCTAAGGGTAGGATGGTTAGGCCCATGCTAGATGCAAAGGAGAGGTTAATTTGTTACATACAATAGATGCTTTAGGGCGTTAGAGCATAATTCCGGGCAGGACTGCTGTTGGGAAGGGCTGGTAGATTAGAGTGTCTCCTAGAAGTGTGGTGGGAGCTGGAGGGGCCAGTTCCCCAGGCTGCCCTTTGACCCTCTCAGCATGAAAAAAATTCACTTCCGGATATGAGAGGGTGAGTTTCCAACATTCAAGAAGCAATTATGCTATAAAGTGTAATTGTGTACTCAAAAGCATCTTTTTGCCATCCTTCTCAGAATAGACTCTTTGAGACACTGGCTGTACTTGGGTTTCCTTTTCTCCGTTCCATGGCACTCAGTCCTGCCATGCGATAATATTTTCTATTTAGGAATCACAACTGAAGAAGTGTTTAAGCCACTTATGCTTCCAGGGACTATAGTTTAAACCCTTTAGATAAAAGCTTAGCTAAGAAGAGAATCACAAGTGGCTTAAGTGTTTACAGAGCAGATACACACTGCAGATTGCCTGCATCCAGGCACCCCTGAACTCAGGGGGTTTTTCCCTTCTCTGTCACCTCACACTTCCTTAGTTCTGCCACTTTGGTCAGTAATGGCCGGTGTCCCTGGGGAGCAGGCTGGGGACTAAATCTACCCTTGCTGTATCCCCTGCACGGCCCATCATCATGGCCCTAAACCCTAGGAAGTTTCCATCAAAGTGCCTAATGTGGTGGTAACTGTGGTTAGACAAGACTCACACGGTGCGGGGGGGCGGGGGGGTCTTGGCGCAGATTGGACCTTGGATGAACTTGTGCAGACTGACACAGTACAGGGGACCAGAAGAAGCAGGAAAGCTGCTGGACATGCAGAAGGGGACAGTTTCCATGCCCCAGAGGTGACCCAGTGAGGT